TCGTAAGTAGATCAATCAATAATATGACGTTGGATTTACTGACAAATCTTATTTATAAATTTATAACAACGACTATGAATTTAAATATAAATTACACTAAAATAATATAGAGTGTAATTTAACTTACAAGGATTCCCTAGAAAAAAATCCGGAAATTGCATTGACAAAGCTTCTACTCGAGGGCTACTACTTATCGGGCACTCAGGGGTCGCAGGGCTTCACCGGTATACTAGAAACTAAGGAAATTTGGATATAATGCAGAGAGAACTCGAGGGATTAAGTTATAGGGGTGGGATATGAGAAGCATATACGGTGGCAAGTATTTATAGCCGAAAAAAGATATGCACGCCGCACACTCTGTCTGGGTGCGCCGTACAAATGGTCGGGATGCTAATGTGTCATTCTCTGGTCGGGTCAGTTTACGAAATCACCTCATATTAATTTGTTATTGGTTCTGACCGGTAGGAAAGGGGCTGAATGCAATATTTTGCCTGTTTTTATTACTTAAAAAAACAATTACTTCAGGATTATAACTTAGGTTGGCCAAAATTTAGGATTTTACTGGAGATATATATATATATATATATATATATATATATATATATATAGAGAGAGAGAGAGAGAGAGAGAGATAGAATCATATGTAAACTAACAATTATTGTGTAAATGTATAACATAATATGGACGAATCATTTTATACGAGCATTATGGTAATTTAGTTAATTAAATTATTTAGTATATTAATTATATCCCTATATTTATGGAAGATTGAAAGTTACCCTTCTTATCATCTTTTCCAGCCCATCTTATAACAACCCTAACTTCATCGGTCGTCACTCACCATCATGATGTCACAACCCTCTTAAACTGTCACCACCTTGTTCTAGCCTAGCCACCACCATTCCACCATCTCTACCAGCCACATTCATATTCTTCAGACTCCATCAATTGAAGATTCATGACTATCAAGGTTCTGTGATCTTCATGACTAACGTATCAGATTATTTAATTTGCAGATTTTGCAACCTCTTGTTTTCAACGATTGCATATACTAGCTTAAGTTATAATCCAATTGAATTGTAACACGCATTTTCCTGGATGAGTCGAATCAGGGTTTCAAGGAGTCAAAAGGTTGGATTTTGAAAGAAAAAATGAGCCTCACGACGTGAGGTGTCTAAGATGAGAATGTTTGTGTGGGACTGTTCTCACGACATGAGAACATAAAGGCTCACAACGTGAGAACTGAAGCAACCCAAGCCCATGATATTTTAGGGTTTCCTTCATATTTAAGCACCTCTAAACCTATTTTAGGGTTTCTTATCAGCTTCCAAACCCTTTTTCACCTCAGAAACCCCTAGTTTATCCCTTGCTTAATTCTTGGCCATTTTGGAGCCTTTCTTGGTTGGAAGAAGAATAGAAGAAGAAGAAGAAAGAGGGGATTTTTTTGTAGAGGCTTGCAAGGAATCATCATCATCATCACTTCATATAGTTTTTGGACCCTTCTAAGTGTCAAAACTTCCACATTTATTGTTATATAAGGCTAGATCTAAGTTTTGTCTCACTTTTATCCTTTGTTGAGCAAGTTTGAATGAATGGAAACCATAATGTTGGTAACTTTATGGGTTATAAGGGCCTTAGGAGTGTCTTAGAGTTCAGATCTAGAGAATGGTTGAGTTTTGGAACCTTACATGAAAGTTGTATGTCTTTTTCTTCAACTTTTGACCCAAATGAGATCTAGACATGTATTGGACATATATGTCTTAAAAGCATCGACTTTCCAATATATTATGGAGTTATAAGACCTTCTGGAAAGTTTGAGTTTAAGGCTTAATAGATTAAGGACTTAAAAGTTGGACTTTTTGCTTCAGACTGATCATGATGTGAGGAGTGGTTGATCCCGTTTTGGTAAGTTGTTGGAGCTCACGACGTGAGATAAGGTTGCTCACGTCGTGATGACAGCTAAGTTGAGTTTCCTTGACTGAGTTGGCCAAGGTGAGTCAGGATGAGTTGGAATCGGACCGAGTAAGCTCTCACGACGTGACCAAGGGCTGGTCACGACGTGAGGATGGATAGTTGACATTATGGGCTGGTGACTTTGACTTTGACCTTTGACTTTTGGCTTGGGTTGACTGTTGGTCAAATTCTGGTTTTAGAAGGTAGACTTAGGGTTTACCTTGTGTGGATTGATAGGAGGTGTTAAGCACCCATCATTTGGTAGGAGAGCAATTAGCTGTGTTTGGCACGCTGTTGAGATGAGTGATAGTCGGCTTTATGATTCAGGTGAGTCTCCTCACTGTAATTGTGGGTCGAAGGCACCAATGTCGACCCACTGGATTATGTTGTAGGATAGTAGTGGTCTTTGTGACACTTAATGATATGCTTTTATGCTTGTTGTCTTTGTGACTATTACCAATATGATTGTATGTTATATGCATAGAGCCAATATGGTCTTGGAGTAATTATGGACTTGGGGGTTGATACGGACCCGACACAACTACTTGCTATAAAAATATGGGTTGATACGGACCCGGGGGTTGATACAGACCTGACACAGCTACATGTTGTCATATGGGGTTGATGCGGACCTGACGCAACTACATGTTGTCATATGGAGTTGATACGGACCCGACATAGCCACATGTTGTTATATGTATATGTGTATTGTATGTGGTACTTTAGGGAACTCACTAAGCTTTGTGTTTACAGTTTATGTTTATGGTTTCAGGTACTTCCGTTTTTAAAATGAAAGGTTCGACTTGATCGCACTGCATCCCCTGAAGTTTTATTCTGCACTAAATGTTTACAAATTACTCTAATGTTTTGAGAATACTTTAACTCTGAACGTCATTTGGAACAATGAATGAATGACTTTAACTTAATTAAAAATGAAAATTTTACTATGAATTTTTGGGACGTTACATGAATAATTATATTATTTAAGTTGTTCTAATTAATTTAAACTCCACATGGTCTTGATGCTTTTAAGGATTTCCAACCAAGGGTAATAACTCTTTTCTATATTAATTCTATTGTGCCATTTTTAGTTTTTTTTGTATACAAGAATTAATCGGAGTCATGATATACTTTGTAATACTTCAAGCCTATATGGTTAAACACAAACTTTAGATACAAAAGAGGCAGAAAATGAATTCATTAGATCACTAAGTACACAACAAGGGGACGGTCTATACACAAAAAAATACAATGTTAGTAAATAGCCTATAAAAAATGTTAAAAAATGTTTTCCAATGTGGGGAATGTTTTTTGTTGTGTATGGAGTATCAACAATTGGCAATATGTTCTTTCTTGAGCATTACAACAACCTAAAGTGTAACAAAATCATGGAGTGGTTTGGAGATTTTAACATAAACAAGCACACATAGAAAACGTTGTAGTTTTTTGGAACTTGGTGGCTGTAATTCACATACAAGAATAATGATGGATGCTTATCTGAGATTTTTTTGGATGCACACTTGGATAAAAAAAAGGACATTCTTTTAAGAATTGGCGGTGTAATTCTTTCAAGATTAATGAATATTTAGTAGATTCTTCATTATTTTATTATGTAATTCTTTTAAGTGTTTAGAAATATTCAGTGACCATAATATATTCTATCAAGAATGTAGCTTTTTTTTATTATGTAAAAAATGAAGTTTATTCTCATAAGAATGATGTTAGATTTTAGTATATTATGTATTTCCAGTTGATATTTATTTAAAAATGTCTTGTTCAAAAAAATCATATTCTTTCAAGAATTAAAACATATTTAGTTAAAAATATGTATTTTTTTTCAATTTTTTTTTCACAAATATTTGTATTTTTTTCTAAAAAAAATAAAAAATAAAAATCAATTCCTAAAAAATCTAGATTTATTATTTTGTTGCCTAAAATAACAAAATACAAAATATCCATATTACCCTTAAGCGAATTTAAATTTTGAATTCCTAAAAAAATAATAGAATAAAATAATAATAAATGCAATCATATTCATTCAAAAATGTTTTTATTTTTCGTTGATTCGATAGCCAAGATTGAATTACATATTTACACAATAATTGTAATTTACATTTGAACATAGCCTTTT